GGTGGCATGGTGCAGAAAGTAACGGTAGTTGTGCAGGGATGGGTCGCGTACGAAAATAGTCAACAGTTGGGACGGAAGTGGGTGTGTAGGATGGTGGAGGCGCATAATGGTCTGAGCTGGCCGCCGGTATATGCGGATGTGGGGTTTTACCAAACTCGCGGTGCGCGTGGTTTGGTGTATTCGTCATGTAGTTATGGGGAGGCCGAAGCAAGGTGCGGTTTTCTTGATAACAACGAGGGATAGATTCTCGAGGGGGATATTTGGGGGTGTTTTACGTATCGCGGCCTTGACAGCAGATATCTGAGTCCGAGGGCGTATTTTGGTGGAGGTGTAACGCGGAGAGACAGCAGGTCAGGGGGTCTGTGACAAGAACGAGTGCTGTCAACGTCTTCCGTAGTCACTGCTCTGGCTGGGGGCGTGCCCGTCAATCAATTCAGTGCAAGGAGAAAGTTCCACTGGGCTGATGGGGGCATTTGTAGCTTTCCCGGCTAGTGAAGCATAGAGTCTATTTTTAAAAGCTATAAAGTGCTCAGGGTTCTGTAAGGCCATGAAGTGAGAAGCTTCTGAGTAGTCTGGTGTAGGTCCAGTGCTTGGCGCAGCCAATGAGCCTTTAGAGCATATATGTAGCGTGGGAGCGTTGACGTACGTACTGGTGGTTGATGGCGCAACAAGTATAGATACAACAGCATGCGGAGGGTCAGGTTTTCGAGGATGCAACTTACGGTGCGCTTCGTATCGCGGCCTTGACAGTAAGTGCTTGAGCCCGAAGGCGTATTTGGAGGAGGTGGAGCACGGAGAGACAGCTGGTCGGGGGGCTGTGACGAGAACGAGTGCTATCAACAACTGGTGTAGTCATTGCTCTTGTTGTGAGACGTTCCGCGTCAGTCATTTCAACACTAGCAGAGAGTCCTACTGGGCTGATGGAGGCGTTTGCAGTTTTTATTGATGGTGAAGCAGAGAGTCCATTTGCAGGGGCGATGGAGGACTCAGGGCTTTGTAAGGCTACGAAGTTTGACGCTGCTGGATGGTTGGGCGTAGATTCAGTAATCACGGAGCACTCAGAGCTTAGGGGTACCTTGAGAGCATCCACGCAAGTGCAGGCGGTAGACGGGGCAACAGGTTGGTGTAACTTTTGGGTAAGCTGCCTTTGCATTCGAGTACGGGCAGCTTTGAGTTTTATGGTGTGGAATTTTTCGGTGGAGGTGAGAAGAGCTTGG